TGAGATTGGCTAAAGAGAGCTGAAGCACCTTGTGTTTTACCCCACTAATTCTTGGATTATCTCCCTGAAACAGATAAACTTGGCCTCATAGGCGGGGAGCAGCCGCCTCAGTACCAGTACCCCCCACAGTACATGCAGCCACCGCCGCCGCCGCCGCAGCAGCCCGCCGGAGGACAGTCGTCGCTGGTGGATGGGGCAGGAGCAGGAGGATCGGACGGCGGGGCAGCAGGAGCTGGCGACCACGGCGGCGTATAAGCAATCTCGCTGAAAGGACGAACGCTTCTCGATTAAAAACATGCCCCCTCCACAAGAAGGCGGGCGAAACCAGATTAAAAACAAAGGAAAACTCAGTTAAACTAGAAAATCTCGAGAATTGCAATGAAAACTCAATAATAATTTCCACTTAGACGATCGATGTGCACGAGTTGGTGTGAGAGGTTTTAAGTAACTTACGTCATAATATTAATACTAAATCTAAAGAAGACGCTCCGGACAAATTAAAGTTGTTGCTAATTTGTTTATGGTTACATTATTTCATGCATAAAATAAAAGAAAACGGTATATATAAATATAAATACAAAATATAAAAATACAAATATATGGAACTTGAATATTACGAGTGACTCTCTAAACCACGTACTACCCAATATGGAAATATGGAACTTGGATCTCTGCGCTGCACTGGCAACAAGGAGCGCCAGTGGAAGCAGGAGGACAGGCGGTCGCTTCCCGATGTTCGCAGCTCTTTGAACTCAGTTTCCTTAGCAAATCAACTAGACAAAACAAAAAAACTAAAACGAAAACGAAAACGAAAACAACTATTTCGGAACAAGACCCAAAACCAAAGAAATCTCAGCTTTGTTCCTAAGTAAAGTTACGCAAATATGAATATTCGAAATGTATAATCCAAAAAGATGTTTGAAATCGACAGGCCATATAAGATTGACAGTTAAAAATGTATTCATGGAACTTTACTTATATATAGAGCAAGTGTAGTCGGCTGAAAAATACAAACAAGTGGGATAGAAACCAGAAACCTAAAGTCTAGTCAAAATATACAAAGCGATTTTGTTTGCAGAATTATGTTTATGTGCAATCATTACTGTTGTGTTTGAAAAACAGTTTCGATTGAAAGATGAAACCAGACAGTTCAACGATTAAATTAAGCGCTAGACACACAATACGTTGGTTATCCAAAGGATTTATTGATTTACTTAGCTCGACGACATATGTTTGTATATTTCAATGTTACGAGTAATAGACGCGGCGGTACTTAGAGCATATATATGTACGTGTATGTAACGATATGATATTTAGATCTCACACACTCCACCCGATCCCCAATTCCCAACCCCATAAGCATAACCCCCTCATAACCGATCAGAAGCAGAAATAACTTTGAGACAACACTCGTAGCACATATTGTACTCACCTTGTTCTGAATATATACAACCTATAACTACGATTAATGTATTAACTAATTGATTCTACAAGCGCCTGCCCAAAGTGCTTTGCCTACCAACCAATTTTGGGGCACGAACAAATCGAAAAAATTAATTAATGAAAAACCAAAGAGATTAAATGGGAGAAAACGAAGAAAATCCAAATCCGAATGCAGGTATTTTTAGCAATATTCGTAGCGTGTACAATATGTCGCCCTTAAAGCTTATTAGAATCTCGTTCAATGTCCATCTCAGACTCAACCAGACACTTCACATGCATATAACCATTAACAGATATAAATCAATATATGTATGTAATAACCAATGACAAATGTTTAGAAAAGCGTTTCGATTTTTGTTTGGATTTTAACAAAACAAAAAAGGGAAATAAGAAAACAATTGTATACACAAAAAGACCTAAGAAAAACACCCGGAGAACGGAGAACCCACAGGGTTCCTAACATTGCACTGCGATATTCCCGAACCCTTGGGGCGGCGGAGCAAGTAATCCCCGTACTAAAACAAAGACGGACACACAAAACAAAGAAAAACTCTATAAGAATCCCCAAAAACAACAGACGGCAAATGAGAGTATATATATATGAACCGTATATAAACAATAATATTACTAATTAATTTAATGATTAATTGCACCCCGAAAATACATAATTATTTAAATAAATAAATAAAAATAATGTCGTAGCGTTTTCTTTTAAAATCGGGAGCGGACAAAAGGTTATTCACTGGGAAGAATATATTATCTTTAATTGGGTTCCTTAAAACGACGTATAGTATTTCAGGTTTTATTAAGTCAAGAAACAAGGTTAAAAATATTTGTTTTAATTTAGTAAGAGAGGCCTTAAAAATACTTATTACTATCTAATTGTATGTTTCAACAGTAAATACTTTATTTAAACACTGATTCTTAAAATGCTTCTACATTTATTTTCTTTTGCTAACTGTAGTAGAATCTAGCTAGTGGACCGATATAAATTTTCCAGGACATAATTAAGTTATGGGGAATTTTAATATAACCATGTAAGCTTTAATTGTTACCTGGGACCGAATTAATTCCCAAATTAAGCAACAAAGGGAGCGCAGCCTAAAAATAGGATCACACAAAAAGTGTAGCATACTATCCAGCGCTCGGCTAGCCAAATTGCGCACTTGACTACGGGAAGGGATACGCTTCGATAGCCCAACCGAACCCACGTGGCTGCATACATAAATAACAAACAGGATAATGGAAACCAAAACCCGTCTGCGGTGGGGAAGCCTACATTTATACCTGGGAAGAGGCAAGTGGGGGAGCGAAGGGCGCCTGTTTACCACACTTGCCACACCTGATTAAAATCTATTGACAATGCAGGCGACGGCGAAATTGGAGCAGCGCTAACAAGGGCCCACAAAGGAAACGGCAACACCACCCTTCGATGCCCCAGTTGCTCCTTGAACCCGGGATCCCAGCCAGCACTTAATGAAACCCAATTACCGGAGGTGTCCGCCAGCCAAATCCTGGAGGCGGATGGCAAACAATAACAGCTGCGAAGCGCCCAGCTGCTGCCGCAACACCTGCAAATTTTATTTGCATTTTTCCTGCCATTTCAACACTCTGTAAATATTGACTAGGGGTATATTGTTTTGTACTTAAATAGTTATTTAACATATCCAAATTTTAATTTTTTTAAGTGTCAGATTTTGTACTCTTTAAATAGAATTATCCTCTTGCCAGTAAAAATGGTAATGATTTCTACATAGATTAAAGAGGTTCCCTCGAAAATAAATATAAAAACATAAATATCATACCATAACATATAAACATAGGTGCAAGATGTTTTTCCAGACCCAATTCGCATTATGCTTTCGTTGATTTGTATTAATACTTTGAGTAACTTAGTTTCTCAATTAGTTGTTAAAGGAGCCTTTCTAGCTTATATATAAACATATATATATGTTTCTGTAGATTAGTATCAAATAATATTGGTTGTTATAAATATTTTTTTATCCTTATCTTGTAAAATTGTTTTCTTTAAATTGATATAAAATAACGGTCATATGAAGGTATTACTTTTGCTAAGCCTGGTAAACTTAAGGCCGTAACACTCGGTCAACGGAAATTTACTTGTTTATTATTATTAACTTCGCCATTTCCCGGCAAGGACATGCGCAAACACCCCCGCCTCCGCCCACAACACTCGCCCACCCGTCATCATCCCCCCTGCGACTCCAGGGATTAGGGCAAGGGACGTGGACACGGATGCGGAGGCATCTCCGAGCGGAGCAGAGTGGCGTATAAATACGGCGCAGCTTTTGCGCACAGCCTCAGTTGGCGGACCGTGTTGCTCGCGATTCCGATTCCCATTTCCCAGTCGCTGCGTCCGCGAGGTGAGAGTTCATCCGGGAAACGGCCAACTGTTGCAAGTTGCCCTCAGCAGGGAGCAGGCTGCAGGTTGCAGGTTAATGGCTCCAATTACTGCTTAAAGTGCAACAAATTACGCGTGTGAGATTGATTAATGGCTTTATAAGCCAGTTGCAGGCGGAGAAAAGCTGATTGTAAGCCGAGGATTTGTCTTAACGACTCGTCGGGTCAAGTTGACCCCATTTTCATATTAACTGGCGATAACAATACAAAGTAAGTAAAGCTCTTAAAGTATTTATTTTTATATGCATTGTGAAAAGTTTTGCAAAAGTGTTATCTCGTATAAAGAAAGTGACAGTGCTTAAAAACATTCTAGTAAGTTTTATTTGTAAAGTTAAATCGTAGGTTATAAAAGTCATTATTATAAGAATCTTTCTTAATAAAAGTTTTCTCGGACTTGTCTAATATAGTTGTGAAAAATCATAAGTAAAACTTTGGAGTTCTGTCTAGTAAAAGACTTAATTTTCTTTGTTAAAATTATAAAATGTAGTAGTTTTTATCACAACCAACATAACTGATTTTAGATATTAAAATGGTGAACAGTGAACTTAGGGTTTCTTTGACTTTTTGGTAAAGTACTTTTAAATTTCTGGCGAAAAACCTAAGTACACTAAGGTTTTTGACCAGTTTATAAACATAAAATTGGTTCTTTAAAAACCAAATGTTATATTATTATAAAACTAACTGACATTAAGATCACTAAAGGGGTATTTGTTGTATTTTTATTTCAAGATCATTTTTACTGCTATCAGATTTGAATGAAAAATTTGAACTTAAAGTTGAGAGGGTCCCAAGACAGAGCTTAAATCAAAGGTAAAATAGCTTTGGAAGGTGCCTAAAATATCCTTCCTCAGCAATTACCCGCTATTTCCAACACTGTCGTGCAGAGGGCCCCAATCCCAACTAGGTCCAAACAGGGTGGGTGCAGTCCAAACAAAACTGGTTGCCAGCCGACTTGGTTGGCGTAATCATATGGCGAGAATAGTGGTTAAAACCACCCCTGACGTGGCAGCTTTCTCGGGGGTTGTGTGTTATGTGTTGTGTTTGTATATGTATGTGGAGAGCCCGAAAATGAATCCATATCCGAATCGAATCCGAGTCCGAAACCAAATCCGAATCGGAATCGGCGGCACAGTCAGTCTGCAAACTTCGGAGCGTTCGGTTGTCAAGTTTTCGGTCGCCTGCGTGATTTTCTCTTTTCCGATTTCAGCACTCTTCCCGCACACACACACAGCCAACACACACTCTACACAAGAGAGGGCGGAGCGGAGAGAGGAGGCGACTTGACTTTCGCTCGAATTTCTCGCTTATTGTTATTGTTGTTGCCTCACCGTAGTGTATATACCAAATACCCACTGTACTCTGTGTGTGTGTGAGACTGCGACTCCACTGTGTGCGTGTGTTTTTCCTGGAAGTTCGAATTCTCTTTTTCCGTCTGCGAAACGGCCAACGGCTGAAAAAAGTTGGTGGAATCAGAATCAGAAGCGGAATCACTAGCTTATCACCATGGCCGACAACAACAACTGCCCCAAGTGCAAAAAATCGATCGTCGCCAAGGAGGCGGCCGCCACGAGCATCGGATGCAGTGGCGAGGACTGCCGGCGGAGGTTCCACCGCACGTGCGTGAACATAGACGATGCGGTCTTCGAGGCGATCCAGAAGAACCCCATGATATCCTTCCACTGCGACGAGTGCAAGAATCAATCGCCGCGCTCCTTCGCCGCCAAGCTGCACACCATCGAGGAGAAGGTCAACAAGGTGTGCAGCGGGGTCAACCAGATCCAGGGCCGGATGTACCAGCAGTACTTCCAGTTCGGCAATCAGCCGCTCCAGGCCCTGGGAGCCAGTGCAGCCGGCGTGGGTGGCGGTGGAATGGCCGGCGGTCTGGATGGGAAGAAGCATCCGCAGCAGAACAACCTCATCGTGGTGGGGAACAACTGCAATTCCGATCGATTGCAGGTCGTTTGCGACTACGGGCGATGGGTGCAGGTGGGCAAGTTCGCCACGAACACTAGCGAGGAGGATGTGATCGATCACCTGGCCGAGGAGCTGAAGATCAACAAGAACCTGGTCAAGTGCACCAAGCTGGTGAAGAACGATGCCAACCTGTCGCAGTTGTCGTACTGCAAGTTCAAGATCTCCATACCGGACTACCGCTTCAACGAGCTGTTCAACGAGGCCATCTGGCCCAGCGGCGTGATGGTCAGCCCCTTCACTCCGCGCTCCCAGCTGAACCAGAACCGCCTCTAGAGGGACGGGCCCGGCGGCCGGGAGAGCGGTGACCGGGCGAGGGTGAAGCAGTAAGGATTGGGAGGAGCAGCAGCTGGAGAGGCAGTAGCCAAAAAGGAGGGAGTGCGCCTGCGCAGGGAGAGGATAATCGGAGGAGGAGGAGGAACTGCATCGCGACCTGGCACCCAAGGGTTGCTACATGGACTGCAACTACACAGCGGATTCCCCCTCTAATCCCTTGGGCATTGATGGAGCAGCAGGGCAGCAGGCGGAGCAAGGAGGAGCAACTATGTGCCCCCCGTTGTATGCTAATTTTCGACACTCGAAAACATTGTCTAGATCTTTAAAAGCTTACAGAACCTATCTAATGGAAAACCAACAACAAGCATATTTATTGAATTAACTTTGAAAATGCATTTTAAAATGTTTTAGCGTTGCGTAAATAACGAACATGAAATCGATAATGAAAACCAAAAGTATTTTAATGGCAAAACTCACAAGTAAAATAGATGTGAAGCAAAAATATTAGTCATTTATGCATAACTGTCGTACTTAAATTAAAGTAAAACCGAAAACAAAACGAGAGAAAACCTAAGAAACCCCAAACTAAACGTACTTAAACACACACACTGAGAAACCGAGAAATAACGATTATTCAGGCGCGTATTTAAACCATTTACTAACCAGGCACCGAAATTATGAACTTTCCTTTTGATTTTCCAAACTCACTTCCGGGGACTAGAAATATTCGAGAATTCAAATTTCAAACCCAGATCGTTATACTTTCTCCAAATCGATAGAAACTTTATTACGACGCGTGTGCGACACCTATCACATTTAGTACTTAACCGTAACCAATATCAAAAACAAAAAATCGTATATTCAAGCAGACGACGGCTTATATTTATATTGTATTCGTATATGTATGTAGTTTGAGGCATTTTCAAAGCTTGTTCCTGTTCCCAAAAACGTTTGGACATTTTGCGAACCACTGCACAGGACACTGGCCAGCAGCTAGAAACCCATTCAAATTCAGATCGAAAGTATACATGTATTTGCGTTTTCGACGGGCAGTTCCCGGTATTCCATATCATGGATATAAGGACTCCTAGTCACCACAACACGTTCAGGACTCGAGACGAAACGATGCTGGGCAAATCCGTTGCAATAATAACTCACTGACCGAGTATAATGGATGTACATTTCGTAATTGATCTATTTTTTTACACCAACCCGACAGCAATATTTTCCGTGGGCTCCACGCCAGCGATAACGATCCGAACAGAACCGTAGATATTTACGCAAGAGTCAGCAAACGAAATGTAAAACACATATATTATATATTTAGTATACAACCAATATGCATGCATGTATTTATGTCAACTTTTTCAATAAATTCTACAAAAAAATTAAATACCGAAAAGGAAGAAGTGGATGGATCTTTGGGTTTTGGAAACTACGTTCTACAGTCAAGAAAAAATGCCATATTTAATATGCATGATTTGAAAACGTACTGATGATAGACGGGATTTTATTAATAGATAGAATTTCAGTTTAAAGTAAAACTCTAAGGACTCTATGAGGACTTATAACTTAGTAATACATTCGAGTTTTAAAAACTTGGAATGAGTCGAGAGTACAATTTCAGATCTAATACTCATGATTGAGAAGGGGTAGACAATAGTTGTACGTATACAATTTTCATAGAATCTTTAAAAATTTCGGGCTGCTCTCCATACATATTATTTTCAGAATAAGCACAATGGCCAACTCAAAACGAAAGGTACCCACGAAATCCAGTACCACAGAGGACTCTACCCAGGATAAAGATCTTCCCAGGTCTACGGAAAAATCAGCCACAGAAGTAGCTCCCCCAGATGCCAAAGACCCCTCCCTCCTGAACAAATTTTTCAGAGATTGCCTAGGTCACGACCCCAGGAATTTCTCCAGCTTGTCCCACTTTACCAGCTGGCTACAGAGACCCGTGGATGGAGCAGCCTTGGGCATCTTCAGGTTGCTCTATGGAGCAGCCATGCTGATTGACATTGCAGAGGAGCGAGGCGGTGGGCAGCTGGATGTGCGATTCCAAGATCCGCTCCACTGTCACTTCCCACTCTTCAACGGCATGCGGGCATTGGCCTATCCGCTGATGGGTTGCGTCTACCTGTGCATGTGGCTGGGCGCCTTGGGCATCATGCTGGGCTACCGATTTCGGACCAGCTGCCTGGCCTTCCTGGTTCCCTACTGGTACATCTTCCTGCTGGACAAGCCGACGTGGAACAACCACAGCTATCTCTTCGGTCTGGTGGGGATCTTGCTGCTCTTCACCCAGGCGGAGTCCTACTGGTCTGATTAGCTCTTTAATTTTTGGAATCAAAATATACCTAACCTCTACCTAACTTCCAGTTCTCTGGACAGCTGGCTAGATCCCCGGAGGAGTCGCTGTATTCCCTACTGGAACTACTTCATCATTAAATTTCAGTTCTTCGTTTTGTACACGTATGCAGGTCTGAAGAAGTTCTCCCTGGAGTGGCTATCTGGCTATGCAATGTCCAATCTGAGCCACCACTGGGTCTTTGCTCCATTCCGCCAGGTGATTGATCCCGAGCTGATTGACCTACTGATCGTGCACTGGTTCACCGCCTTTTTCGACCTGTCCATTGCCTTTTTTATGACAGTGGAGAAGACGCGCTTGCTGGTCACTCCTTTCATGCTAAGCTTTCACCTCATGAACTCCCGACTCTTTGTAATAGGTGAGTGAAAAAGTATATGTAGAAACCACTTCGTTTATAAAGCAGTTGTACATATTTATAATGCTTTTACGGAACCCAAAAACAATAACAATTATAACCCTTAAGAAAGGTACTCTTCAATTTTTAAATAATTATCCCTGCTGGATATATGTATATATATACATAGCTGTTTTATATGTTATTCCTTTACGGAACCCTTAAATTAAAATCATTATACCCCCTAACAAATATATTCATATTGATATTTATATAACCAACCAATAAAAAATCAATATTCTAATCGAACTTACCCCACAACAGGAATGTTTCCCTGGGTTTGTTTGGCCGAGGTGCCGCTCTTCTTCAGCTTCGACTGGCCCAGGAGGATAAACAGATGGTCGAAGACTCCCCTGCTCCAGCCGAAAGATCCAACAGAAGAGCTGAACAAGCCGGGAATCCTGGCCAGACTGCGCACGTGCCTTATCCTCGGCTACTGCGGACTACAGCTCTTTCTGCCATACTCTCACTTCATAACCAAGGGGTACAACAACTGGACGAATGGACTGTATGGCTACTCCTGGGACATGATGGTGCACTCGTACGATACGCTGCAGACCTCCATCCAGGTGGTGGACAATGAGAGTCGGCAGGTGCACAACTTGAATCCGTATGCCTTCACGGAATACGATCGCTGGACGAAGTACGCCGACATGGCTGTCCAGTATGCCAAGTGCATTGAGGAGAATCTCCGCCAGGGACAGCCAGAGATGGCGAAAAACATCTCCATCTACTTCGACATCTGGTGCTCGATGAATGGTCGCTTCCAGCAGCGATCCTTTGACCCGCGTGTGGATCTCCTCCGCGCCAAGTGGTCGCCCTTTGAGAGCACCTCCTGGTCGCTACCACTGCTGAACGAACTGAATCACATGCGTCCCAAGTTGCGGACCATCGAGACCGAGGTGCTGGCCTGGAACAACTACTCCGATGTGATCTTCGTGGCCGATTTCCCCGGCCTAACGCTGACGAACTTCATCTCCCCGGATCTCATCAACTGCACGCTGACCATCCTCGAGGGAAACGTGCGGTACAGGAACGAGCGGGATCCGGAGGCCTATTTCCTGACGGCCGGCAAGAGCATCGGTCTGGAGAGCAACATCACCCACTTGGTGACCACCATTGGCCAGAAGCCGGCTTCGTATCTGTTCACATACACCAACAAGACGATGCTAGAGCAGGGCATCACGATAGACAAACCGCAGACGGAGGAGCGATCTATCCTGCCGCTGTGGCAGGAGTTCCAGCATCGGGTGGCGAACTACCAACAGTTTCTGGGCCACATTGGCAACTGCCTGATGCACTTGCTCTACGATGTGCCCATTCCGCAGGCCGTGAAAGAGAGAGATTGAAAGTGAAGGCTAACCATCGGAACTGTTTCGGTTTTCACTTGATCCTGATTCGAACTTAAAATAACCTCACTTATTTTAAATCAACCCATTCAGTATTACTTTTTTAAACTAAATCTTAAGGAAAGTGGACTATATGCCTTAACTTTGTTTGGGTAAATATATTTTTATCTAAATTATGCCTTCACAAATTCACATCGATATTCCACTATCCCGAGGTATAATATTTAGATGAAGTAATTGCATTTAACAAGGGTACATTAATGTAAATTTATAATTGAACTGATGAATTTTACGGATTGTGAAATCCAGAATATACATTCCAACGAATCCCGACAATGTGAAAACCGTAACAGTGCGATAAATCCGAATGTATGGGTGATAAAACTGATAATAAATGTTCCATATTGTACCGCATCCCGTCCTAACTCTCTTATCGGATATCTACAACTGTATTTACAAACGTCACAATATGATACTTTAAACCTATAAATAGCGAATCTCCGGGCCGGGAGGATTCTACGGTGAATTTTGTGGGTTAGGGACTGGGCCAAACGAAGGGGAAGATTATAACATTTGGAACAAACACATACATATGGTGGTGGGAGCCTCGTCTACGCAACGCCCCGCGACTTTTTCGTCGGCCCCTCCTCATTGATCTCCCGACTGGGGTCGAACTGCTGCGTCTGCGTCTCCCAGAGACGGGCATACAGGCCGTTCTGCCTCAGCAGCTCAGAGTGGGTGCCACGTTCGCCCAACTGTCCATTCTCCAGTACTAGGATTTCGTCGGCATCCTTGACCGTGGAGAGGCGGTGGGCAATGCAAATGCTGGTACGTCCTGAGGTGGCGCGGGTTAAGGCCTGCAGAATGTTCTGCAAAAGAATGATAACCGAATAAGTCAGTCGGTTGGGTTCAGTTGCATCCAAACACTCACATGCTCTGTGATCGAGTCCAGACTGCTAGTAGCCTCGTCGAAGATCAGGATGGGGGTGTTCTTGAGAATGGCCCTGGCTATTGCAACGCGCTGCTTCTCGCCACCGGACAGTTTCAAGCCCCGCTCGCCCACCTGGGTGGAGTACTGTGCTGGCCAGCTCATGATGGAGTCATGCAGATCCGCCATGCGGGCAGCATTCTCCACCTCCTCGTGTGACTTGGACAGGTTGCCGTAGTGGATGTTGTGCTCGATGGTGTTGTGGAACAGCACCGAATCCTGAGGCACCACAGCAATAACCTTGCGCAGACTCTCCAGATCCACAGTGCTAATATCCTGACCACCGATCAACACCTTGCCAGAGTTTGGCTCAAAGAAACGGAAGAGGAGGCGCACCATCGAGGATTTACCCGATCCAGAGCCACCCACAATGGCCACGTTCTTGCCGGCGGGAATGGTAAAGGACAGGTCCCGGAAAATGGGCTTGCCCGGCTCGTACTCGAAGTTCACATTACGGAACTCGATGGAGGAATTGGTGGTATCCACAAACAAGGGCTGGGCATTGGCCGCCGTCTGAATCCTGCTGTCCACGTTCATCAGCGTGAACATGGCCTGCATGTCCAGCAGGGCCTGACGCACTTCGCGGTACACACTGCCCAGAAAACCGAGAGGGATCGAGAGCTGGAAGAGCAGGGCGTTGACCATCACCAAGTCGCCCACTGTCATGTTGCCCTGGGCAATCTCCTTGGCGGCCAGCACCATGATCAGACTGAGGGCACTGCTGAAGATGGCGTTCTGCCCAAAGTTGAGCAGCGCCAGACTGGAGCTGGTCTTCAGACTGGCCGCCTCGTACTTCTTCAGCACCTCGTTGTAGCATCCCGCCTCGTACTTTTCGTTGTTGAAGTACTTGACCGTCTCGTAGTTGATCAGCGAGTCCACGGCCTTGTTGCCGGCCTCGTTCTCCGCCTGGTTCATGTAGACGCGGAACTGGGTGCGCCACTGGGTTACACTCAGCGTGTAGGCGGCGTAGATGCCCACGCAGCCCATACTCACGCCAGCGAAAGCCAGACCGCATTTCACTCCCAGGATGCTGGACACGAGGGCCAGCTCAAAAATGGTGGGCACAATGTTGAACACCATGGCGGAGAGTACAAAGTTGATGCCCCTCGATCCTCGGTCTATGGTCTTCGACAGGGCTCCCGTCTGTTTGTTTAGGTGGAAGGCCAAGTCCAAGTTGTGCAGATGCAGGAACACATTGCTGGCGATCTTGCGGATCGAGTGGTGGGCCACCTTGGCGAACACCGCATTCCTCAGCTCGTTGAACCCCGCTGCACTGGCTCTAGCAATGCCATCTAGGGAGAAAACACAGTTATGATTGATTCTAGTACATAGGTTCTAGTATATAGACATACATCCCAGCATCAGAGCGGTGGCTGTTGATAGCACTGCATCCGGAGCAGTGTCCATGTTCAGCGTAGTCATCGTGTCCACGGCTCCTTTGAACAAGAAGGGCACGCACACCGTCAGCAGCTTGGAGCCAGCTAAAAGACCCAGGGAAATGCCCACTCTACAAGTATATAGTAAATATATATTTAAAGAACAATTTACCTCAATTATAGCCAGACTCACCGTTTCCTGACTAGTGGATCCTCTTTGGGCCAGATGTAGGCCATCATGGCGCGCATCATATCCTTGGAGGTGACCTCCGGAGCGTCCAGCTTGCCCAATCCAGAGCCGCCATCGCTGCCGCCCCCTATATGAACATGACATTGTCGTGATTGCTGTTGTTGTGGGCGGTAAAGTCGCCGCTGCCGCTGTAGCGTTGTTGTTTTTGCTGCCGCTGCTGCTGGGGCTCCACCTGCATTGGATTCACTTGGATGCAGCCAAATTCAGACAGGCGCTCAACACAACAAGCGCACAAACAAACAAACAAATACAAACGGGCGTTGACCGACTTGGGTTACGAACGTACTCGGTCCACAAAACAAAATCAATTTTGGGTTAGTCAATAAATAGAAAAAAGCGTGAGAGGCTAGTACTAAATAATAAGGCCTGCGAATCGGCAGGTGTGCTGGGTTAATTGCAGGAAGTCCGGCACTGGTTAATGGCTGGGTTAATGGACTATTCCTGGGTCACCTACATACCTTTGGCCTTCTTGCCGAATACTCCACCCAACAGCTTGCTGCCCGGCGTGGGCGTAAACGGGGTTATCTTCTTTCGCTTGACATCGCTGCTCCCCTGATCATCCACCTTGGCCAGCGAAGAGTACAGCTGAAAGGTCAATGGAGCAATTACAAGTGGTGGCATAAAGTTTTATGGGATTTATTACAAAAGTATAAATGTTAATTGGGCTTTAGTTCGAATTCTTCGAGGTAAATTGGTATTCAAGATAAGAAAGCTCTCTACTTTTACAATCCCTGAACAACAAAATGCTTTGTACTGATTTGAAATCTATGCTTAATATGGATTACTTCTATTCTGCAGGATGCGCTGCATGATAGTCGCTCAAGTAACGGACGCACTCCTGCAGGTAGGATCTTGCCACCGCACCGCTCTCCGTCAGCTTTGGAAGTTTATCCAGCTCTCCCCCGAAGATCTCGTACTCCTCTATTTTATAGGACACCAGATAGGACAGTTCTGGCTGCACATCCTCGAACTGCTCGGCGTCACCGAAGGCAATCTGGTTGAGGATGTTGGGAAAGTAGGACTGCTGCTTGAAGATTAGGTGCAGCACAACCTTTAAATTGTGAGAGCAACCGTCGTCGATGTGGACGAACATCTGGTCGTTCAGATTGTGCTCCCTGATGAACTTGAAGATGTTCCGGTGGTAGGTCTGCGTGGATAGCTCCTTGTTCCGCTTAACCATGTGCTCAATGTCTAGCAGGGAAAACTCAAAGTAGTCGTGCTTATTTCCTTTTAGCCAAAAGCCGTACTCTGTTAGCAGCTTAAAGTTGGACAGAGCACCGTAGCTGATAAACAATTGGTCATAGGGTTTGGTCTTGGGGACCGGAAGAGATTTTAATGTGAGGACGTAATCCTGGCCCTCAATCTCCGCCGTGGTTTGCACACTATCGGAGTGGTTGAAGAGGTCCAAGAAGGGAGCCATTGCCAGGTTGGTGTCGCCACTGATGAGGGCCTGGAAGTGACTGCTCTGCTTTTTGAGAAAGCGGGAGCTGAGGTAGACGCTTCTAGTATTCACGGTGAAGTAGGCCCATTTAAATTGTGCGAGTGTCCAAATCTCTTGGCCGTAGCTCTTTCCACAGCAATCGCAGTTGAGAACCAGGCTCTTGATTATCTCAAAGTAACCCCTTATCTGGCGATTCTGGGCCACAGTTCGCTCTAGCAGAGATTCCGGCAGGCACTGCAGCTCGGGTATGGAGCAGAAATATGGAGTGGAGTAGCTAGTGGGTATGGTGTCCAAATAGGAGGCGTAGAAAGTGTGGAGCGTCTCCAGAGAACACTCTAAAAGGTGTTTGCTGTACAGAAGATAACAGGCTACCAGAGCCTGAAAGGAAATCCTGGAGTCCTTGTCGAAGAGCTCTTTGTTGAATAGGCTCTTGAATGCCTCATCCGATTCCAGCGTGGCTATGCTGATGAGGCAGCCAATGGGCAGCCGAATGAGCTCGTCCTCCGGGGAGAAGCTGTCCTGTTTAGAGCACAATCCTCGTCCAGTCTGGTCATAGTTTTGGGCTGATAGATGAGTGTGGTTCTGCCAGCCGAGTGAGTGCAAGTGAACGTAGAGTTCCTGCAGGGAATTAGAACCCCCTCCAGATTGCTTGGCCCTCTGGAGCCGGCGTCGCTGGGTGCGACCCATTATTCCCGATCCTAGTCTGTGTGTGCGCTGTTTTGGTCTATCTCTAAGCTTGCTGCAACGAAATAAGCCAGAGCGTGGTGCATTAATTCAGGATTTATGGGGTTGATGGGAAAAAGGACCAAAACAACGCACACGCAGACTGATACCCGCTCAATCAAACCGCCAATTCATTGCGTATTTAACGCCTAATTACGAAATCGCAATCTAGTCTAGATAGTCTGGCATGTGGCCTTGAAATGGGTCTAGATTCTAGAACGAGTACTTACCACTCTTGCCTGCACGTGGGTTCCCGTTCTTTTAGCGAAGGTGTAGCATTTCGCGCGTCCCAAGTGGGCAGGTAGGTGGATGCTGCACTGCTTGGTCAGATGGAGGAGTCCGGCCATTACTCAATTGCCAGGCGAAAACAAAATAAAGTCCCTCTTCTTTTGCACCGTCGTCCCTGTGTTTTTTTCTGCATTCGCACGCAGCGTCAGCTGTTTAGTGTGCCCGTTTCGTTGTGAATGGCAATTTGGAAATGAGACAGATGAACTAGTTTCATAGATTCAGCTACTAAAAAATTGAATAAACAATTAAATCTATTAAAAATTCAATATATATATGATTTCCGTTTTTTTTTGTTATTATTGGCTTGTGAGAATATTAAGTAACTTACAATATATTTTTCCCAACGTTTTATCTGTCATTAAAAATCGGTTGAACATAGTTTTTAATTATTTTGCCTGTAATTATTAAGCGAATAAATATCTATTTAAGCTCAGGTTAGATAACTTGTTAGTTTGTTGCAATAATGTTAACCTTTTCTTTAGTTTTGAAAGCATGAATCTTTGGAACCACTAAGAACCAGTTCCTCTTCGACAGTTCCATTTTATCTCTGCCCCCCAAAACCGGCATATCTGAATTCTGGAACAGTCCGCCGCTCGAAAATGTCGCTATTTGGTCTGATTATCTCTGGACGCCTGCCGCAATCGGATTTTGTGGCCGTGGACACCACCAAGCTGCTGGTCAATGTGCCCGACATCGAATCCGTCAATTACCTGGTAGTATTCCTCACCGGCGTCTCCCCCCTGCCCGTCGGAACCTCGGCGGCGATATACTTCAGCTGGCCTGACGCGAATGCGGCGCCCACATGGCAGTACCTGGGTCACATAAACAACAACAAGCCCTCCGCCATCTTCAAGATTGCCCAGCTGAAGAAGAGCCACGAGCTGGAGGCCCACGCCAACGGGATGGTCTTCGGCAGTCAGGAGATCTCGCACATTGCTCAAATCGGAGTGTCCCTCGAACCGGAGCTAACGGTGGCACAACAGACGCCAGCTGTGGTAAGTTGTCTATAAATGTGTAGCATACCTATAAATACAGATAGTAGGTTTATCAATGTGTGTCTTGTGTACTTTCTAAATTATCATACTACTTCTGTGTATTATAACTACATTTTATCTTTCTTAAAATGATAACAATGTCCAATTACTTAGTTAACTTTAAAATGTTCTAAACTAACAGCAGAACATGTCCTAGTTAAACGTTTTTGTAACTTATTCTTATAAAAACCCTCAAATTTAATTATTTTGTAGGACTAACTTATTATTTACAATATATATAACGAACATATAATAACGAACAAATATTTATAATATACCTGATATGTTATATCTCAATAACCCCCATATTCCCCTTTATTACAGTCCACCGCCAACGACAACAAGCAGTTCGGCCAGCGAATGCTCGAGAACTTCTTCAACTTTGCCTCCAGCTTCGGAGTCTCAGCCAGAGACATCCCGCCTGCCTCGAGCGAGACCTTTGTGCCTTTCTCCGTCGTCCAGAACTGGTATACGAATTTCCAGCGCCGCATGGAACAGAACCCAAACTTCTGGAAGTACTGAGGACACCCGAACGATGGAGGATTAACCTCCAAAAGTTGTTGATATTACAAGTAAAGTTTTATATGTATATTCTTTCTGTAACTATGGCTTATTGTTTATTGGGTGGACTTAATAAGGTTACTACTGCACGTGAAGATTTTGAAAAAAGTATGGAGGATGTTGGATGTTGCTAAGGCTCAGGCTTGGTTGGATCGCATCCAGTCTCCCTAGGACACTTCTGGGTTTTGCTTTTACTGGCTGCTTCATCTCGTGCAGGCTTGCGCTTTATGAACTCTGGTTTAGAAGATGCCATCTTCGGTGGACCCCGAGCAGCTGAAGCTTTGGGAGACCGAGTCGGTGGTGGAGCCGAACCTGACCTCTTTGTGCCTAAGGATCCTTCACCGGCTGACAGCGTTATACCATCGTGGCTAGGAGAAGCTGGTTTCCTACTTGGGCTTCGAGCAACAGTAACTTTAAGAGCTGGATCCGGCGGTGGAGCCGAGCCTGACCTTCCCCTGCCTGAGGATTCTGCCAATGCTGACGGCGTTACACCATCGTGGGCAGGAGAAGATGGGCCCCTACTTGTCTGGGTCGTCGATGGACTTCGAGAGGCGGAAGCCGTAGGAGTTAGATCCGGAAGTGGAGCAGAACCCGACCTTTTCTTGCCTGATGATTCCCCCCTGGGAGGCCTACTTGGATAAGTAATCGAGGGCTTTCGAGGGGCTGGACCTGCAGCAGGCGGAGCCGGAGCTGGACCTGTGGACGAAGCTGGAGCCGAACCGGATCTCTTCTTGCCTGTAGAATCGCCCTTACCTGGTGACGATGAGCCGCCCTTTGCTGGAGGAGATGGCTTGCTAGCCGATGCCGACTGGGATTCCGCCTTGGCCTTATCCTGCTGCTCCTTGATCTTCTCCTCGAGCCGCTTTTTGTTCTCCGGAGTCAGCTCCCCGAAGATGCTCTTGATGATGGCCTTATACTCGTTGTAGTGCTGCACCTTGTTGCCCGTGGCTGGCGAGGAACTGGGCGGTCGTCCATGGTAGGACACGCAGCGGCTGCGGAGAAGAACCAGTAGACGATTAGTATCATTTAAGGGACACCCAGTATTTGTTTCCCCCGTCGCCCAGAGATCTCTGTGGTCTATTTAAACAATAGCATTGGCGGTGGGCGACTCGACGTGAGCTGATTTTTATTCGGTCTCTCTGCCTATCGTTCTTTTTGTGGCCTGCAAAAAAGCAATTTGGCAAGCTGACATACTTATTCAGTCTATATAGTGGCCGCCTATATATATTTAGAGATCTACAAGAGCGCTTCTCGGTCTGCCTAGCATAGGAAACACGCGCAACCTCTGCTGACCAGACTGCAATTTCAATTGTCTTACAACATCTATCAACATTGATATGCCCTGCAGATAATCGACGGGGGTTCCCATAGATTTATTTCGTTCTTATGATTACTTTGTGATTTTAAATATTTATAACTACGTAATCATGTTATAAAATTTATGATTTATAATTTAACTATAACTGAAATATCTCGCCTATTAATTATATACCTATACAAATACATATTCAATTTTAAAATCTGGAGAAATACTTTCGATGTTTATTTTAATAATGTATGTATATAAACTGGACAGATACTAAAATTATGTTTACTTCTATACGAACTTATTTTGAATTATGTATTTGTTGATGTGTTTTAAATTCCTTCTGTTTGGAAAAGTATACATTTTCTTGATGTTTTGGCTAAAATTGTTTGTAATATATTGAGGAGAGTAAAGTATATGTTATTTTCCTTCTAATATCTTTCCCGATTTGCAACATATGTGCAGGGCATTTTCACTTCGTGGTCTATGCACCTCGGACAGCACACAATTCATTTGCAATTACATAGATTGCTGACTGATCATTGATCGGATGGTTGCCAGCGAGGCGCAGCCACAGGGAACAGATTGGTGGATTGGTAGATCGTCGGATCGCGGTGCTCCCGCCGACGGATTGCGCCAGTTTCGCTTGCAACGTGTTGAGTGAAACATAGTCGAGTGCTAACGGAGGAATAAGCTCGATTTGGTCGCGTGTTGGCCTCGAGAATAGGTCAGGAGGAGAGCAAGTGCCACGGCCACGCCCACAAGATGACAACCACGCAGCAGGAGGGAACGAGGGAAGCGGAGGAGGAGCAGAAGCCATCAATGTCGCAGGCAGCGGCTAATAATAATCATAATTCGCAGCGGTTTCTAGATGGGATCGTAAATCACAGGGATGCTGAGTCAGCCGTGTTTTGTTGGTCAAAGGCGACGCCGGAAGTGCTCGGAATGGCAGGCCATTCCCATGAATCCCATGAATCACGCACAAGGAAACGGGAGCATGGGCATATGCCAGCCACATTTTCAAGCAAGGCAGTCAGGAAAGTTTCCTATTTATCTAAACTTAAAGCTAAACCGGGGATTTCCCTTGTATCAATGGGATGTATACAATAGTTATCAATTGAAACCAGCAAACCTAACAAATTCAAGTGAAACTGAGATATTTAGCCCATACCAAGCATACGCACCGTCCACAGCAAGTTTCCCCATGCAACAAGTATACGCACCGTGGCACCTAAACTTTCCCCAACTAATGCAATTGCCCCGCAAAACTTCCGACGGCGCCTTCCCAGAAATCAGCACCACCATGACCCGACGATGCGGACAGGTGGCCACCAGCTCACCCGCAGAGCAGGCGCCCCAGGAATTTCCCATAATTAAAAAACGATTTGTTAGCTTTCCCAATTATCGAGCAATGCCTCAGGATGGGCCACATCGACATCCACATCCAAATCCACCCACCGCCGCCACAACAACAACGATGACGCAGCCGGGCCTCGGCAAAGTCACCAAAATAGATGAGATCAGCGGTGGAGAAGATGGAGGAGCAGGCACTCGTGTACATAAGGTGCCGCCGATGTTTGATAATGAACTCGAGGCCGAGGAGCAAACGACGGTGGCGGAGGAGGCATTAAACTTGAACGTGGCAAGGGAAATCGAGCATCAACAGGCGGAAAATCTTAATGACGCCTTCGGAGAGAGGCGACACGACCACAGCCACAAAAACGACGACGCCATTACCATTACCATGGGGGAGGCCAAAAATAAACGCGAAATATGCGAGCAAAGCAAATTAGAGAAGGCCGAAGATCATAATGAGCCAAATATGAGAGATTTCGGCGAGCAGCAGTCAATATGTTTGGCCAGGGAGCAGACAATAGATGGGCATCAGATCGGGAATGGGAATCGCAATAGCAACCACCAGCAGTCTGGCGATCTCTCAGACGTCCGCCAATCGTCGCCAGAGCAACTAGACGGGAATCTCGGTCGGCAGCTGACCCGCGAGCGCAATCCGAATCCAAATCCGAGTCCGTGTCCGAATCGAACCCTGCCAAATATAGAATTACTAAAGAGTTCCGTGCGCGTTTTCCTAGCCGAGAGGAACTGGGATTGGGACTGGGAGCTGCTCGACCTTTTGACCGACGCCATCGAACTGATCTGTGGACAGCCAAAGGAGCAACAGGAGCAGCTACAGGAGACGGGGAACCTTTGGAGCGAGTCACCGGTCGCCGGAGCGGACATGACCGTCAGCAAAGTCAGCGAGGAGCGGGAGACAGAAACGACCGTCGACGTTTATCCCGCCGAGCAACTCGATCACCAGCCGGCGGAGCAGGCGGATGAAAACAACAATTCTAGCATAATAGAAGCTACATTACCCAGCGAGATGAAGTACGAGCTGAAGACAGCCAGTCCAGCACTGCCCAGTCGGAGGAGTCCGCAAAGAGAGTCACCAGTTAGTAGGTTGACTACCACCAGTCGTATACGCAATGTAGAGCCAAGTGCTCCACCCGCCACTCATGCTCCTCTGCTGGGAGACCTAAAACGCACCTCCATCAGTCGCGACAGCATCTCCTCCATCGATGCGGACTCAGTGCTCCCGGAGAGAACACGTCTGCGACGCCAGCGACGCGTTCGCTCGCAGGATTCCGTGGAGGAGAAGCCAGAGGATGTGATCGAGCGGCTGAACAAGCTCAAGGCAAGGATATCAGGGGCTCTCAGCGAGGTCAAGGGAGTCCTCAAGCAGTACAGCACGGAGAGCGAGGCAGAAGCGGCAGGAGAGCAGTCCCAGGTGAAACCAGGTGGAGACGATGAAGCTGCTCCCGTCTCCTTTCGCTTTGTGAAGAAAGTGCGACGACGCAGCTACTTCGATGAGGCCGAGGAGGAAAAGGAGCAGGCTGGAGAGGCTGCCATAAAGGCTAAGGAAAATCTGGAAACTAAAGTGGAAACCACTGAAAAAGAAATCGGAGAAAAGGATTCATTGAAAACTGCAAAAGATTCAAAGATCCAAAGAGAGCAGACACCCTTTGCCAGAGACCTATCAGAAGTTCCTGAAAAACAGGTGGATCACCCTAGTAAATCTAAGGAACTCAGTGGAAATCAGGAAGCAAAAGAGACAACTGAGGTTACAAGTCATGACATAGAAGTTATTAAAAATAAAGAAGAAAATGATCTTGAAAATCAAGATGACAAGTCGTCTAAATATCAGGACAATCTGGATGGTAATGCCAAGGAAATTAAAGAACATGCTGACAAATCCGATATTAAGGAGTCCGTAGATCCTAAATTCGTAGAGGTAAAGCAGGAACCACCTAAAATGAATGGAGAATTACCGAAGACAGCAGATCAAATCAAACAACCTGAGAAGAGCAAGACGCAGGCCAAAATTGAGTTCCTGGCCAAGGTGCAGAGTGAACTCAAGTCAAAATCTGTCAAGGAAGCAGCTCCCAAGGAAGAAACTTTGAAAGAGGACTCTTCTACTAAGGATGCAACACATAAAGAAGCAACTTCCAAAGATGCAGTAACCAAGGATTTGTCTCCGAATGAGGCAGCACCCAAGGAAGTATCAACAAAAGATATAAATCACAAGGAAGCGTCTCCCAAAAAAGGAGCCCACAAAGAAAAAGCACCCATGGAATCAGCTTCCAAGGAAGCAGCATCCAAGGAACTAATCCCCAAAGAACCTACAGAAGAATCAACAAACAAAGATGTTTCACAGATCAAATCATCAGAATCCCAGAATACATCAGAAGTGGCCCTGCCGGATGACTCACCCGCATCGCAACCACCGACCAAGATCAAGAAGAAAGTCATCGTGAAGGTGAAGAACCCCAGGCGCGCCTCGATCGCCGCCGTGGAACCATCCAAGATCAAGGTGGAGCCGGCCGTCGAGCAGAGCGATGCTCTCATCACTCAGCGGCGACCCTCCGATTCCGAAGCGATTGTCAAGCGCAAGAAGAAGCTGAAATTGATGGGCGACACGGCTGCCGCAGCAGCAGCCACATCTCTATCCACATCCCCCAGAGCCACCTCATCAGCGGCAACAAAAGATTGCATTGCCGAGGAGACGGCGGTGGCTACGCCAGAGGTCACCGCGGTGCCAGCCAAGTTGCCCAGTGCCAAGAGCGACCAAGGAGAAGCTACAGCAGTAGAGGCGACAAATGCAACACTTCCAATCGATGGTGATCCGCTCGAGACTGGCAATCTAACGCCAGCAGGCGATCGCAACAGACGCGCCAGCCTGAAACTAGCGGAGTTGGTGGGTGAGACGGTCCTGGTGGTGCCGGCAGCCAGCGCAGCAGGAGGCCTCAAAGATCCAGAGTCCAAGTCCGAGTCCAAAGAACCCATCGATCAGGAGGAGAGGCAGGTGCAACAGGTGGCCATCGCCGCTGACATTGCGCCGCAAATAGCAGCGACATTGAGGCACGAAGAGTCGTCGGCAGAGCCATCGGAGCAGGCAGCTACAAAAGCCGGAGAACAGGCGCCTCCCGGCGACAGTCTAGCCACCATGCCGGAGCTGAAAGTACTCGCCGGTCCGGTGCAGCCCGTCAAGATCGAGACGGTGGAGCAGCCCCACGATGAGGGCAAGAACCAGGAGCCCCTTGTGAAGAAGAAGGCTGCGAATCTAAAGAAACTGGTGCGCAAGAATTCCCTGGACAAGGAGCCGGTGAAGCCGGAGAAGCAGGAACAGAAGCAGCTGAGCAACATACTCCGGGACAGGAACAAGATCAATGAGCTGTCCTCCAGGATCAACAAGCTCACGCCGCCCAAGAAGCAGGCGAAACCAAAAGAGGAGCAGAAGGCACCAGTGGTGGTTGCTGAGGAGAATAAACCCAAGCCTGAAGAAACAGCTCCTCTAGAGGAATCCCCTACCCAAAATGAGGAAGACATTGCACCCGAGCCAGATGTGGAGCCTGCGCCGGTGCCCAAGAAACCCAGAAAGGTCAAGAAGAAGGTGATCATTAAGCGGCAGAAGCGGCGTCTCTCCGTGGGAGACACTTTCTTCCTGCAGCCGGAGCCCGAGGAGCCGGCCATCCCCGAGGTGGAGACCATCGAGCGGGCCATAGCCTATGTGACGGATGACGAGGAGGACACCAAGGCGGCGGCACCCAAGGAGGAGGACGAGCCAGTGCCGGTTAAGCCCCTTAAATCCTGCCTGCACGTAAGGGAATACAAGATCGGTGACCTAGTGCTATATGCGGAAAGGTATCGCAAGACTCAGGTGCGCTGGAAACGCGGAAGAGTGCTGGAGAGGATCACCAGCATTTCTTACAAGCTGGAAATCGAGGGCAAGGAAGTTCCCGCCCATGTCAGCTACATCAAGAAGTACACCGGGCGAAAAGTACGTTTCGGGAACAAGGAGTACCTGGAGATCGACTACGAACAGGTGGCCGAGGAGGAGCGCCGGGCGGCCAGCTACAGCATATGGAACATGGTGTAGATATAGCTCCCTTAATGGTTACCATCCACATCCCACCCCGAGTGGTGTCCAGTGTCCAGCCATCTTTGAGTGGAATTAAAAAATTGTTCGCTATGCGAGGTAATTTTTTAAGGATCTCAACTCGACATTCAGTTATGTTATAGTGATTCGTCCTAGTCCTAGTAGTAGATCTTAGTGTTACATCCTAGTGTTTAGTGTAACTTATTCCAGGCCTTTCGTTTACATCTTAAGTACTCTGTATGTGTAAATATAAACAAGCTATTTAATGTTAAATAAAGCGGAAAATATTTCAGTTATGCGAGGTGGTTCTATTTATAGGCTGTTCCAAGCCAATTACTCATAAAAGTTTTATGGATCTGTTTATTCCGATGCTTGCCTTTGGGCGATTGATGCTTCCCTTGCGAATCTTCTTGTTTTCGTGGTTATTTATAAAGAAAATCTGACGATGAATGAACAATACTGGAAATTGGGACCCGTCATGGTCAGGCAAACATCTCAATCAGCAAACACAATAATAATATTCCACCCACTCCATCAATGTCGATGATAGCCCCGAAATAACCCAACAGATCCCAGATGTGGACAACAGAGAAATGCGTGCCATTAATAAAACTTTGGCGGGCTTTGCCGTGCAGTGGCCTGCATTAGATATAGAGATGTATAAAAAAGAAACAAAAACATTCCCCCAAGATCATCGGACATTTCTCATAATTGATTGTCAAGGCGTTCGGTTCGGCGCTATAAGAATTCTTCGCTAGAGATCTCTCGCAATTACCAGAGATTTTAATTCACGCTGACAAAAACAACAAAGGAACTCGGAAAGAACACACAACACACATGCCAGCAATAAACATATCGGGCATGCCACAGCATATAGATATAGTAGACCTGCGAATATGCTACATTCCTAAGGCCTCTGGCGGGATTTTCATTCAATTTTCGGGGCTGGCAACCGAGTACTATATACGATCAAGACATTATGTACGTCTGGCGGGGAGTACACAGGAAAAATTCATATTTCAAGTCTATTGTAATGGGTCTGTCATATAAATTATTGCAAAAAGGTAAACAAAGGAAATAATCAGACATGCCATCTTGACTTTTGTTCGATCATTCAACAGGTAATTTCACAATATCAAATGAAATCAAGTGGGTCGTTCGTTTAAAAACAATTAATAAATCAAATTGGGCAAGTCGATTTGGGAATAATTAAATGTTTCATAAATGTTAATAAAAATTCAAAAATCATACTATGTATTACTTAAAGTAAGAACAACTCATTTATTAGATAAACTATTTGAATTATTTTAGAATCCTGTTTAGAAACCCCCTATTTTTCCAGTGCACCTACATATTTGCACGAAAGCAATTGAAAAACAAGGAAGAACGCTATAGTCGAGTACCTCGACTATCAGATACCCGTTACTCAGCTATATGGAGATATGCAAGCAGCAAAGCGAGATTAAAATGCGCCACCTACCGGCGGTATACAGATTTAAGCGTTATGGGCTTTAGAGTGGGCGTGGCAAATTTTTTTTTGGATCAATCGATAGGTATCGACGAGACCAATACATTTCAGTTAAAATTTTTTATCTAGCATGAAAATTGTGGGCGTCACAGGTTTTCGCGGTTTGTGGGCGTTAAAGTGGGCGTGGCAAACTTTTTTTTGGGTCAATCGATAGGTATTGATGAGAACAATACATTTCAGTTAAAATTTTTATTCTAGCATCAAAACTGTAGGAGCCACAGTTTTGGGCGGTTTGTGGGCGTTAGAGTGGGCGTGGCACTGTGCTGAAACAAACTTGCGCTGCGCAGGAATCTCAGGAATCTGCGTGCCTAATCCCAGTATTGTAACTCTCATAGTTTCCGAGATCTCAGCGTTCATACGGACAGACGGACAGACGGACAGACGGACAGACGGACAGACGGACAGACGGACAGACGGACAGACGGACAGACGGACAGACGGACATGGCTAGATCGACTCGGCTAGTGATCCTGATCAAGAATATATATACTTTGTGGGGTCGGAAACGCTTCCTTCTGCCTGTTACATACTTTCCGACGAATCTAGTATACCCTTTTACTCTACGAGTAACGGGTATAACAAAGCACATTTCATTCTATATGTTCGGAATTTCGAGTTGAGCGATAGTTGGGAACACTTATGAAGACCAAAACAACCGCGACAACATCGACATCAAAGATTTCAAGTGCAGAGAAGAGTCCTCGCGGTTACACATGAAATCATATATCTCTTTTCCGTACATATTATTTTGAATAATTCCCAGAAATGTTTTTGGGGGAAGCAATATTGTTTTCCATAAATCAGAGCAGCAATCTAGCGCAGCACTAGGCGTTATTAGGGACCATTGTTGGGTCCGCATACGAATAAAAATTGTGGTGATATCTCTCTGAAAGACCCCGTCTATGAGGAGAGGAGAGAGGATCGGAATGGGGATGGGTGTTCGGTTGGTATCAAACGCCGCGAATCGAATCTGTGCCAAGTTCCTTGCGCCAGTTCTCTGGTTCTAGTCATGCCCGCACCCGTGAATACAATGCGATGTCCAACATCGACATGGCTGTCCGCGATCGCAATAGCGATCTCGATCTCGATCTGCAACGAGGCCATTCCGACCGGGCCAATTACTAACAACGCAGTTGCCAAATTGTACAAATTATTGGAGCCTTCTTCGCCTGGCGGCAATTAATCGTTTCAGAGCGACAGCCCAGAATCCATGAACCCGCATATTTCATCGCTGACTAACCCCTATTTATTATAGTAATAAAAACACCTCGCTATATAGTAAATGTCGAGCCAGGAAACGAACTTTCGGGGGCGCCATCTGAACTCTGGCGAGGCCAAGTGCGTTACACCTTCTACCATATATATAAACAACAATATATTTGGCATAGTTTATAGAAACAATCGACACGTTTGTAAATCTTTAGCGCAGAGCAACCTCGAATTTGCTTGGCACACGTTTGATTACAAAAGAAAGCGAAGAAACTACAAGTGACAAAGATTAGTGCTTAGTATTTTGACTATATTTATAGTACCTGCTTTTAATATGTTACTTTAGTAGCCGATTTGAATTGAACCAAAAGAAGTGTACTAAATCTTAATGGAATTCTAAATGGAATAATGTTGATAATATTACCAAATTCAAGTTAAAAACCGATCAGGTTAATATGATAACTTAAAAAATTCCAAACGATTACATTTTCATTTAAAATAGATTCAGTACTTGCGAGGACTCTGCATTGTAGCATAGGAAAAGTATCTAAAATATCCATTAGAAATATGTTCAAAGGCTTAGAAAGACAGTGTCAAGGTTCTGAGATTGTTAAGATAATACGAAAAATTCGCGAAACTTTCCAATCTTACAATAGAGTGCTGTCAGCAGACCATTTAAAAGATATACCCCTCTCTTAAACGAACACTGGGTACCAAAAGCAACAACAATTAAACCGAAATCCTCTGATGTTGGCATGCTTTTGGCTTAGGTGTCACCATCGCTAATCGCCATCACCATCACCATGAGCGCCAAAGATGGCGTCACACGGCGACGCAGCCCGCCGCCATCTTGGCACCTCGGAACTTTGGGGGGTGTCGGGTGAGGAGGAGGCGGAGGAGTCGTCACCAACACCGATTGACACTCTGAAGGTGCGTCAACGTTAATCGCACCTGAATTGAGTCACCCCAAAGGGGAGTAGCCCAAGGCCTCCTGGCATTGCACCTTGGCATTTGGAATGGATAATCTGTGGGTTCTAAGACTTACGTTTCGTTTTCGTTCTTGAGCAGCGCGGTATCGAATCGTGGCTGCACATAGGACCAGGCACCACTGTTCTTGTGCTCCTCCTGGGCCCACAGCAGCTCCGCCTTGGGGTACTGCTCCAGCTGCTGACTGATTAGGTCGTAGGGGAAAGGACAGAACTATGGGAATGTTGGTCAATAACTATAACTATAAAAGACAAGCCATGGCCTCACCTGTTCCACCCTCACCAGAGCCACTGACTCCACCTGCTCATGGTCGTCGCGCTCCTTGAAGAGATCGTAGTAGACCTTGCCAGAGCAGAAGACCAGTTTCTTCACGCAGTCGGGCTGTTTTCCAGCCGGTCCATTATCTGGGATGATCCGCTGGAAGCAGCTGCACTCGTTGAAGTCCTTGAAAGGACTCCTAGCCAGCGGATGGCGGAGCAGCGACTTTGGCGAAAAGTTGATCAGCGGCTTGCGGAAGCCCATTTTCACCTGGCGGCGCAGACCATGGAAGAGATTCGCGGGCGTGGACAAGTTGGTCACAATCCAGTTGACGTTCATCAGCTGGCGGGCCACAAAGTCGGCATCACAGGTATCCGGATAGACATCCGGATCATCGTCGCACATCTGCAGGAAGCGCTCAATCCGCCCGGAGGAGTGCTCCGGGCCCATGCCTTCCATGCTGTGCGGCAGGAGCAGCACAACACCGGATTGGCGCACCCACTTGGTCTCGCCACTGGCTATGAAAGTGTCGATGATGCACTGGGCTGTGTTGCAGAAGTCCCCGAACTGGCCCTCCCACATGACCAACGCATGAGGACTGGCCATGGAGTAGCCGTGTTCGAATCCCAGGACGGCGCACTCGGACAGCGAGCTGTTGGAGACGGAGTAGGGCGCCTGGTCCGGGTACAGGTGATCCAACGAATTGTACACCACCTTGTCGCACGATTGATGGTGCAGCACGTGGTGCCGATGCGAGAAGGTGCCGCGTTCCACATCCTGGCCGGACAGGCGGACGTGGATGCCCTCCTTTAGAAGGGAACCAAAGGCGAATGCCTCGCCCAGTGACCAGTCCGCAACCTTATCCTGCACCATCTGCTTCCGCAGGGCCAGGATGCGGTGAATGCCCCTGGAGGAATAAAGAAAGAAAATTACAGATTTTGTAGTTAGTTTAACAAAAAAAAGTACAGTAAATTACTGTAAAAGTGGGTTTATTCCACCAAAAAACTCACTTGTGCATCTCGAACTTGTGCTCCGGCGGCGGAGGACTGGAGAATATATTGCCAATCGTCTTCAGGGTGTCTGTACTAATCCCAGTGGGACACAGCTCCAGGCGATCGCGGCCTTCAAAGAAGCCCGGCCAGGGGGAGTCGATCCAGGAGGAGTACTAAAGGTGAGCAGTCAAATGGGGAAACTATTTAAGGGGCATTCTCGTCTTACTTTTATGCTCTTGATCGACTTGGACTTGGTCCAGGAATCCTCGCAGATCTTGTCGTAGGTAGAGACCATTTTCTTGAACTCGGCGTCCGTGATCACACCCTCCTTGATCAGCTTATCTGAGTAGAGCTGCAGGCAGGGCTTCAGCTTCCGGATGCGCTGGTACATCAGTGGCTGGGTGAACATGGGCTCATCCGCCTCGTTGTGCCCGTTGCGGCGATAGCCCACTATGTCGATAACCACGTCCTTCTTGAACTTGTGCCGGTAGTCGGCGGCAACGCGACTGCACTGGATGCAGGCCTCCGGATCGTCGGCGTTCACGTGGAGAATGGGAGCCATCACCACCTTGGCCACATCGGTGCAGTATCGCGAGGAGCGGGAGAAGCGCGGATCGGTGGTGAAGCCCACCTGGTTGTTGGACACGATGTGAATAGTGCCGTAGGTGGTGTAGTTGGGCAGGTCGGACAAATGCATCGACTCGTAGACGACACCCTGGCCGGAGAACGAGGCATCGCCGTGGATGATGATGGGCAGCACCTTGTTGCCGGAGGTATCGCCGCGCTGGAACATCTCCGCACGCGCCTTTCCTAGCAGCACTGGATTGACGTGCTCCAGGTGCGAAGGGTTCGCCACCACAGTGATGCGCACCATGCGGTTAGTCTGCCGGTTCAGTCGCTCCTGGAACACGCCGAGATGGTACTTGACGTCCCCGGATCCCGAGTCGCTGGCTTTGAGGCCGTGAAACTGGGAAAGGATGTCAGCGATGGGCTTCCGGCAGACGTTAGCCAGGACATTGAGGCGTCCCCGATGGGCCATTCCGATTAGAATGGACTCCACTCCCTGGTTCGTGGCTTGATCCACCACCTCCTTTATGGCGGGGATCATGATGTCGCATCCCTCCAAGCCGAAACGCTTCTCCGACGAAAACTTCTTGGCCAAGAAGTTCTCGAAGCCCGTCGCTTGAGTGAGTCGCTCTAGAATGAGCTTCTTCTCATCCTTGCTTAGATCCATGCCTCCAGGCTTCTCGAAACGGTCCCGAATCCAGCTGGTCTTCGTCAGCGAATTGATCTGCATGTACTCCACTCCAATGTGACCGCAATAGATACGCTCCAAGCGATCCAGAATCTCTCTGGAGGGAAAGTCAGAGGTGAACTATGTTGAAAGAGATTACTTTGATACCCACTTTAGTGTTAAGAACTGCTCATCGCCGCCTATCATCGTGGAGGAGGGCAACTTGAACATGGCATTGAGGTCACCAAATATATAGGAGTAGTGCTGTCGGAGTACCTCCCGAGCAGCATGACGTTGGCTGCCATCTAGAGAGGTGGTCTTCTCCGGCCCAACAATTCCCAAAGGATCCAGATCGGCGGCTAAGTGACCACGCGATTGGTATGCTCGGATGATGGCCTGGATCGTGTGGTGATCATCGATATTCTTCCAGTCGCTAGGCGGAGCAGACGGAGCTGGAGAGGCTCCGCCGCCGGATGCCGTCCTCTCACCCAACCTAGCTTTTAATGTTGTCCTCTCCACTGGTGGACGTCTGTACTTTCGGGAGGGCGTAGCCCGGAGAGGTTGCTTATTAGGCCGCTCGTTGCCCCTAAAGAGCTCGTCCCAGGACTACACAAGGATTTTATAAAATAGATGTTTCTAATTAGTAATCTTTCATAAAACATAGAGATTAAAAAAGAATCAGGAGTGATTCGTTCATGAATCCTGAAACCATACTTCTGTTTCTCACCTCATCCACAGACCGGGGATTGAGCTTCCACTTGTTATAGAGGCCCTCGATGTAGGAGGCACTGCAGCCGCCAGCAAAGGAGTCCAGATCCTGGGCCCCGCCCAACTGCGAGCTCGTTTGTATAGTGCGCAGAGCTAGTCGGGCGAGGATATGGTGGTCAGTGCCCCAGCGCCTCATCCGCACAAGACTCCTCAGCCGACATTGGTTCATGTTCCACGAGGAACTTAAGATATTCCTGGTAAATTTTGGATTTAATTTAGTAAATGGCCAAAAGTGTTAAGGGTCTGAAGGCTGGGAGAAGTGTGAGCTCAAAACTGATTTCTAGCATGTGGGTCACTTTTTGCAAGACATGCTGAGATTCGATCGGCTAGTTTCAATTTTAAGGTAACTGGCCAAGGCCCTCACCATTCCTCCGGATTCTTGAGCTTTTTTGAACTATCTTGGAGATAATTTATTTAAGGTCCTTGGAGTTCTTTGAACTTGCTGGTTTCATGGTGCTTATCTCCTTATCTGGAGTCGGTTTTCGCAAACTTTTCACTGTTAACTCATCCCAATATATCCACGATTTATCTTCAGGGACGACTTTCTGTTCGGCATTGAAAACCCTCAAAGGTCTGAATGTTTCAGGTATCGGTTTATTTGAGTTTGGTTTCTTCGACTTTAAAGCTGATTTTTGCTTGAGATCTAAACTTTGGTTATCAGTTTTTGGCTTAAAATTTTCCTTTGGCTTAAAAACCCTAAGAGAGGTTTTGTATTCTACAGGCTTCTTTTTTGAAGCACTTTCTTCGAAATTGACTCTTTCTGGTTGAATTGAATCAGTTGAATCCTTATTTAAGGTGTTGTCATCGATATCATCGATTAGTTCTTCAAGGGTCTCATATGTGTCACTTTTATTTTTTGGAATACGTGTGTTTCTGCTCTTCTCAGAAACCAATGTTGACTTTTTGGCTGTTTTAATGGCCTTTGAAGCGTTATCCTTAGCCTGCACATCTTTGTCCTTATCCTCTACTTGAGAAGCATTTATTGGAATTTTAATAAATTCCATAGGGTTTACTTCTGGCCGATCCTTTGGCTTATCCTTTTTCGGTTTCGAAGGCACTTTAATTTCCTGATTATTTATGGTTTTGGGAACCTTTCCTTTTCTTTGATTAGGCCTCTTTTCGTAATAGCTTTTGAAGCACATGGTATTATTTGGCTTGGAATTACCAATCGAGCGTTTTTTTACAACCATTACTGGACCATTATGTCGTTTAAACTTTTCCCTTTTGGAAGATTGCTTCCAATATTTTAGAAATGTTTCAAAGGAACTGTATCTCTTTTGAAATTTGTTGCGACGATTTTTGGATCTTTTTGAAGCCATCGAATTCCTTTCCGCCGATAATGATGATTGTGCGGGTTCTTTTGGTGGCTTCTTCTGGGACATTCTCCTAGTCATATTTTTGGAAAACGGATCTGCCACTCCCTTTGCCGTTAAAACGAAGCAGGGAATTTTTCTGCCAATTTTCGTATGGTCGTATATTCCAGATGTCCTGATTTCCGTTGAAAGTGAAAGAACTTCCATGTCCTCTTTTTGAGGACGAACCACACAAGTATTCAAGTCAGATTGCGAAGTGCTTAACGGATCCTTCAGTACCGGTGGGGAGATTGTTGGGCTCGTCACAGGCATTGAAAAATTCACCTGCAATTAAATTATACATATTTTTTAGGTTTTAATAGTTATATGGATAAAATGGTTTTACAGAAACATTTAATTTTGTTAGTTTTCTCTTAATTTAAAATTAAAATTAATTTCCATTATATTTAAGTTGATGGCAAAAAGTATCCTATAGGAAAGGTAAAAAAGTAATTTCCTTATCTGAACGGTTATCCATGGATCCGACATTGCTCAGACTATTCTTGGCCTTTTCCTGAAAGCTCATTTCTTGTTTGGAATGCGAAGAAGCGTGAATGTGTCTTGCAAGATTTTCATACGAATCAGTTTTACCATGAAGATTGGGATCGTTGGGGTTGGGATGGTATAGCTTGGAAGCGGTCATCGCGGTGTCTACTTGTTCCTTTACCAACTCCTTGAAGAAATGCTGCCAGGTCTGGGAATATCACAGTTAAGAATGTGTTTGACCATAGATATCACACTTGACCTACTCCATGAATCGAGTTATTGTCCTTTATCCATTTGGCGAACAGCCACTCCATGTGCCTGGCGTTCGAAGTACTCGCCAGGACGTCGGCCTCGAAGATTCCGGGTTTCTGACCTCCGGATGCCTCGGATTTGGAGCCCGCACTAAAGAGCTGACAACGCTGCGTAGAGATCTTTAAAAACAAGCGAACGTTGTTGCTCCATGCCATTTTTGACCTTATCATGTGTCAATATTGCGCTTTATGGTTAAAAACAACAAATTTTATGCTAAGTTGTAGGCATTTGAACTAAAATTTATAAAAACTATGAGGTTTACACAAGTGGCCTACAAAAAGTTTGATTACAACTGTACTTCAAAAGCGGAACCGGCACTGAGCCGGAACCGGCACAGAACCGGAACCAAAATTGTTTTTTTTGGATTAGAAGCTAAAAAACAATAAAACAAGTGAATATTTTAAATATCAAAAGGAAAAAAGTTATATAGAGTAAAACAATGTATTTTCAAGAAATAACAATAACTGAAAAAATTTTTGTCTCTAATTAAAATAGACACAAATTTGAAAGCACCTGCAGCTTGTATGCAATTCCATAGGAAAATAATAAATTTAAAAAACTAAAACTCAAACACTTTGTTTATAAATAATTATAGCTATAAACAAATAAACAAAACTTTTAATTGTGAGCACCTATTTCGAACTGGTTCCAGTGGCTGAACCAAAACAGTGTTGAAAAGCGCCCTTGGCTACCATTTAGCCCATACCCGCCTGCGGTCACACTAATCCCACACGATAATAAAAACGCCTGAAATTGTTTAATTTTTTGTAAATAAGACTGGGATAAGAATTGCAGGAGGCACGGTCGCCATGAATCAGTTCCACACGCCCTCGTTCGGCGACGTGTTCGAGCTGAACGACACACCGTCGGAGAGTCCGAGCCCCAGCCAAGCAGTAAGTGGAGGAGTCCCATAACCAATCCCAGTCCAATCCGGAGGAGCAGAGCGACCAACTGGACTGTCTGTACTTCGCTTTGGATTGGCGACATAGCCCACAGCCGGCCGCCCGCCTTAATTGCCGCGCATCGATGGCCGTAATGGTTTTATAATGAGCGAGAGAGATCGGAATCGGGCTCACTCGGTCGCTGTTGTAGTTGTTGTTATTGTGTGCTGGCGACCAGCTGGAGGAGCTCCCCGACCATATCTCCCATACCCCCTCCCCCATCCGTGGGTTATCGCCTGGGCGAACGGCCCCAAACGCCGCGTCAGCTTCTTATCAGCAAACAGCACGCACACACAGTCGCACAATCAGCAGCGCAGGCTACACACACGCAAACAGGCACACACACCGCCCCCTCACCCAGGCCCACCCCCACCCCTTCTCGACTCCTCTCCTCCCCTCTTCCGCACCCAACTGAACTGGGCTTGGGTGAGCGATTTGTACATTATAGTTTAGTTGCTCACTCTGTGATTGGGATGAAGAAGTTTCTAGTGAGCTCACGCTGGGATTCGAGCAATAAATCATCGAAATAACCGTGTGCCCTTTGTCTCTCTTTTTTGCAGTCGCGGAGAATGCTTAGCCTGGATCAGTCCATGTTGAACGATGACGATGACGAGGAGGATTGCGACACATATGGTAGCGGTGGAGGTGGAATAGTTGGAGGACAGAGCCTAGTGGCTCAGCCACAGCAGCAGCAGCAGCAGCTTCAACCACAGGCACCACCCAAACCACTGGCGCCCTTTGCCCTGTTCTTCCGCGACACCGTGACGGCCATCAAGCAGCAGAATCCCGCCTGCTCGCTGGAGAAGATGCAGTTGATCGTCCAGACCATGTGGGACTCCCTGGACGAGACGCAAAAGACCGTCTACAGTCTGCGGCATGAGCAGGAGAAGCGTGACTATGTGCGTCTGATGCGGGACTACCGTCATCAGCTGTCCGAATCGGAGGCCACGTCGGAGCTGGAAACAGCACCACCAGCTGTTGCTCCCCCACAGTCGGTCGTTGTGCCGCCGCCCCTGGACACACCCAAAGTGGAGGCTGTCGAGGAGCCAGCGCAGCCTGCTCCGGAGCAAATACAACTCCTGACCGAGGCGGCCACCGTGCAGAAGTGCACCCGGGAGCAGTGCAACAAGCCGGCCATCATCAATCCGGACTGGGAGGACGAATACTGCAGCAACGAGTGCGTGGTCATCCACTGCCGGAATGTGTTCAACGACTGGGTGCTTACCATGAAGTCCTAGCCTTTGTGTGGCAACGCCACCGCCCACTTAAGCTTAGTCTAGATTTTAGCCCTCACTCACACGCTGTACTGTCCGTATATTACCTAGGAATATACGACTGAGTAAGCAGTAAGCGATACTATAGTCCCAGTTTCGGTTGTAATTAGCATCTGTGTGGAGTCTGAATGAATGCGATACACGCTTTGTATGATACTTTAATTGTAGTAAATAAATCATAGCACTAGCAATAATTCAGAATACAAACACTAACTTTAGAAAGTATTTGGTATGAGACCTTAGGCCATTTTATTGTGGAATGTCATTTAGCAAATGCATTTAATAAATTTATATTGTTTTTGAAAGCCTTTTTAGTTCATAATCATTTTTGACCTCTTGTTTCAATTCCCAAGACCAATTCAAATAAAAGTCCACTCTTATATGGTAACTTTTAATAAATACACACATTTATTTCTCTTGCACTTCATATCAATATATCAATGCCGTTGCTTACAAAAATTCACTTTCGCTCGTTCTACATTTACCAAATAATTAAAATGTATAAATTATTTTTTTAAAATAATATGTTAAAGACGTTTCCTCGGTTGCCTTGCTGAAGTAATGCGCCATTGTTAAGAGTACGAGTTAAATAAACAACAGTATAAAAAAGATCAAGCTTAAAATATTCTAGAGATGGTTTTTCAATCCTTTCTCGTATATATACAGACTTGCATATATAATATATATATAAGGTTATATTGGGCGGGCTTTGACAATAAAGCGGGATAGAGAGATTGAGAAAAAGACCTTAAATGCAGGCTGCAAAGCGCATAAAGCATATAGTAGAGCATCCGCTGGATAGTACTTTGAGTAGGGAGTTCGGGTTATAAGCACTTGTCGCTTAGCATTTAACGTAAACATAAAGCGCACTCTAAATAATATCACCAAATACTTGTTTTCATTTTCAGTTTTCTTTTTTTTCAGGCCTATCCGCTTTGCACACAATCCATTGCTAGGCTAATATAATTTTAACTCGGAGTGGGTTAGGTTAAACGGCAATAACTTGTTTCCTTTGTTTGGGTTTCGGCTGTCCGGTATGTAACGTATTTAATTATCGCGCTAGTTGTCTGCTGGTAGTAACATCATCTCGTTATTATCGTTATTGTATAATGGTTTCATGCGCCAACTGCAACGGCAGCTGCATGCTAGATTATTGACTAGTGTTGCCTTATGGGACGTGTACGGTTCTGGATTCGGGTTGGCATCCGCTCGAGGGCCGTATTTGATACGACCTGTAAAGATGACTGATTAGACATGGTTACTCATGGTTGTTCCATCGATATACCCACCCCATGTTGATGCTGCTGCTCCTGCTTCTTCACTTGATTACTCCACAATCTGCAACTCGCTAATGTCCAGATCGGCGCTGTCCTTGCAGAAGGTGCTGGATCGCTCCAGTTTGGACTCCACACGCTCCCTGGGCAGTCCACTCTCCATTTGGGCATCGATGAGCAGGTCCAGCTTCTGTTTGACCGCCTGGGCCGACTTGTAGCTTCCATTCGACAGGCCATTGGTGCCCGTTTTAGTGGGGCCACCCACTCCATTGGTCAATGCAGTGGTTTTCTTCAGATGCAGCGTGTTGGGGCGTCGGGTGGGAATGTTGGAGGGCAGGCTGTTGCGCAGATTGTGCTGCTGCAGCATGCTGGACACCGCGGAATGTGAGGAGGAGCGCAGGGGGCCGGCGGAGGAACGTAGTTGGACCGATCCACGCTCCTCGACCGGAGCTTCGGTTTGCTTCTGCTGCTGCTGCTGCTGCAGCTTGTTCTTCTCCGCCCGCTTGGCCAGAATCTCTCGGGATTTGGCCGAAAGGAAGCTGTGGCGTCCCTTGTTTGGCACTCCATCTGTCCCACCCGCTGGCACTGAAATGGAGCGCTGCTTAAACAGCTCCCGCGTGGAAAGTGTACTGCTCACGGAAGACAGGCGACTGGCTGCCGACTTGGTTGTGTGCACCGAACTGGGACTGGACCCGTTGGAGGCCATCGCATTGTGCTGTTGCTTCAGCTGACGCGTCGACTTGTTGCCCACAGTGGAGCTCCGCTGCGTTGCCTTGACCTTTCCGGGTGAAGTTCCTTTGCCATGGCCGTTAAGCTGCTGGATTCTGGCCAGTTTTGAGCTGCCCGAGAGCGACTCGTGTGAGATCGTTTTGTTTGTGATCACAGAGCTCTTCATGCTCTCCGCCAGGGAGTTCTGGTCGGAGGAGTATCGGTCCTGTGGTCCGCGAGAGCTGCTCTTAGCACGACGAGCCGGCGATGCCAGGCTGTCCATGGAGAGATTGCTCGACTTGTTGCCCAGCCGCGTGCCATTCTGCACTCTGCGCGCCGCCGGACTCGAGTTCCGTGAGCTGTCGCTGGAAGAGATGTGCAGGTTTTTGGCCGGCGCCTTCCTGCCTCCATTGGCGGGAATGCTCGAGCTGGTGGCACTGCGCACGGGTCCGCCACCATGGCCGTTTGTGGCGGATGGAGCCGCAGCCCTTGGCTTGCGCGGTTCCAAGTAGCGAGGACGAACTTCACCCAGTTTGGCCGTCACCGCGGTAGGTTTTCCTTGGGCAGTCTTGGATTCCACTGTGAAAGCAGCCTGTGCAGCTGCAGCCGGTTTCTTGTGGGTTACCGGCGGAGCCTCCGACTGTGTGCGTCGATGGAGATTCAAGCTGTTGCGCTCCGAAGCCACCTGGGAGCTGGCGCGATGTGGAACGTAGGCACGGGAGTTGCTCTTGAGCAGTTTGCCTGGGGAACAAAATTCATGGTTAAAAATTGATTGCAAAGTACTGCAAATGCAAAACTTACTGCCTCCCTCCCGGGACTCATGATTGGCCTGGACTCCCCTCTCGGCTGTCTGGACATGACCCACTCCACCAGTTGCATCCTGCGTCTGGGTGGCCTTGTACAACAAGGTCTCCTGGGCATGGGCTCGCTTCGTCTGCGCCTGGATGGCCAACTTGATCTGCACGAGATCCTGGCTACGTGTGCTGCCGCCAAAGGAGAAGGCCTTGCTCACCGGCTTGCCATTCTGCCGCTTCATGTCCAGCGGTTCGGTGAGACGGGCCAGCGTCTGTATCTTCTTTCGCAGCTCCAGATCCATGCGTTGCCAGGCGGTGACGCGCATGGCCCGTGAGCATTGCCGGATGAGGCACTGCTCGACGGCATAGACGAGGGCTCCCACAAGTCGAATGTACTCCGGCTGCCAGTCCAATTGCTCCTCTTGCAGACCCTGCAGCTCCCTAGCCAGCTCCGATTGGCCCAGGCTGGCCGGCATATGGATGACCTTTGCCTGCAGCACGGTGTTCAATCTGGTTACCCGCTGATAACTGCGACAGGCCTGCTCAGGCGTCAGTTCAGCAGCCGTGTGCAGGAGCAGCGTCTCCAGGCGCGGGATGTGCCGGCTGCGATCGTGGCCCAGCGAAAGGAAGGAATCGCTGGCGATCAAACTGGCAAAGTGATCACCCACATAGGCGTAGGCTGCCTCCAGGATCTCGCGCACCAGTTGCTCGCAGACGTGGCCCCAGCGATAGGCAGACAATTGGGCCAGCAGGTGGTCGCAGTCGAGCACCGTGTCCAGCACCGTCTCCGAGGTCTAGAGACGATAAAGGAAAAAAGGTTAACAAATTGCTACAATAAATAACCCCTCACAAATACTCACCAAATAAGCCACAATCTGCTGGCGACATCGGCCAAGTATATCCGGGGGCAGCTGGGCAAACTGCCTGGTGGGCCACACCTTCAGGTAGTGGCGGCACGTCCAGCGCAGGCACTTCCTGTACAGATCATCCAGCGCATGGTTCAGGGCCACGGGCAGCACCTGCAGGATGCCATCGGTGCATCCGGAGCACGGCTTATGGAAGTTGTGGCAGTAGTTCGTCTTCAGAGCATGCGAGGTAACCTCCTTCAGACCCTCCAGTCCCAGCAGATCCGCCAGAGCGGCCAGTTCCATTAGACTAATGCCATCCGGTGGATGCGAGGCACCCGAATAGATGTGACAGAGAGCAAAATGCACGGCTGCGTAGGAGTAGCCCTGCAGGGAGACCACACTCTGTGACCCATGACCCGCCAGCATGGCGGCAAAGTACTGACAGCGGGAGCGCAGGATGCATTTGTGGGCGCGGATGCGACGACCGTGCACCTCCACCAGCATATCGGTGGCGATCTCCTGCAGGAACATTTTGAGCAAATCCTCACCCAATCGCCTGGGCTGCCTGCAGCTCAGCGAGGATTCATCCATGCCCGATCTGCTGAAGCTGGAGGCCAGACTAGAGTCCGCACTGAGATCCGTTTGGATATAGTCCACCTGCTGGCCCTGAACCTGCTCCAGGGTCATCCCATTGGGCAGCGAATTGGAGAACTCCTTGGAGAAGTTGGGAAACAGCCGGGACAGACTTCTTATGTTGTCCACCGAGTTGGTGAAGTTCTGCAGCGTATTCCCTGTGGATCGGGTCATGGCCCAGGAGTGCGGACGCGCCCGGTTCTCGTCCCTGTACAGTCGCTGACCCAGCTGGGAGCTCCTGTGGTTGTTGCCCACGCTCTTGCTCATCGAATCCGGTGACTGCAGGTCGTGCTTCACAGGCTTATCCATGTCGGAGAGCTTGACGAAGCTCGAGGGAATCTGGGTGGGCTGCTGCGCCGTCTGTTCCCCGTGCTCGTTGACCGTCTCCAGCAGTTGCTTTTGCTTTTCAATGGTGGCATGTAGGGATTCCATGGTGTGTCCATTGTTCAAGGTAACCTGCTTCTTCGGCGAGGCCGTCTCCTTGGCCTCGATGATGGTCTCCATTACGCTGCTGGTGCGGTTGGAGCTCGTGCTCAGCTGCAGGGGCACTGCAGCAATCAGTTCCGCCTGCTCCTTGGCCAGCTGCTCGTCCTGCTGGAAGGTGAGATCATCCGTATCGGTATTGGAAGCGGGCGACAAGTCCTTGGAGAGGATGCCCTCCGTGACCGAGGCCAAACTGGATTTGTCATAGGTCTCATTCAACTGAGCATCCCTTCGCCTCTTCTTGATCCTTCCCTGGGCCAGACCCTGCTGCTCCTCCTCTGAACAGCTGCTCAGGCCAGGATTGGAGCCACTAAAGTCGTCGTAGGGCGAGACAGAGCTATCGATGGAGAGCGAGGAGGCCTTGGATATTATAGGCAGCTTGTCAATGATGCTCATTAGACCCGCTCCCGCCGAATCCGTGGCCCCATTGGCAGTCAGGCTGATGGAACGCTTGCAGTCGTTGCCCGCCGTTCCCACTCCCGATCCGGATGCCTGCTCCGGCTGGCCATTGCTGCCCCAGCTGTGACGCTTGGCGGGATCGCTCTGCTGGCGATGCTGCTGCGAAAGACGACGCAGTGCGGCCACCGTTAAGGGAGGCTCTAAATTGCATCTGTAGTCCAGGGACTTACTCTCCCCAGTTCCCGCTGACATATCCTTTTGGTTCGCGCTTTTGGCCATCAGGGTCTCCGTGGAACTGGCGCTGGATTTCATCACCTCGGTGTCGCCTACTCTTCGCGAAGCCGAGGAGCTCAGAGAGCTGGACAGCCTCTGGGCCAGACTCAACGGTTCCTTTCGCCCATTTGAACGTGGGGTCTTTTGCTCCCCAAAATCAATGAACATAGAGAATATATTTTTGGGTTCCGGCTTGGCTTCCTCCTTGGCC